TAGTCTAATAGTAATATAATTTGTATTTGAGCACCGACAAGACTGTCAAAGAATTAAAAAAAAAAAAAAAAAAAAATTAATTTTTATATATTGGCTAAAAAAAAATCTTGCACTTACAAAATAAAAAACTTGCACTTATTTTATAAGTTTCAACTTGAACCAAGTCTATTTTATTGTATTTAAGAAAACATCTATAATTTATATTAAACTAGTACAATATTGTATAAAAACAAAAATCTTGAAAATAGTATTATTTTTGTATTATTTTTTAAAATCTCTATAACAATGCCAGTTTAACATAAATTATAAATGCCCTCTAAAGAGAACTTGTACTTAAAAAAAAAACATTTAGAAGGAGTTGACTGTATACTGTAATTAAAGCTTGCAAGTACACCTAATAATAAAAGTTTTTTTTTTTTTTATATAAAAAAATTTTTTGTATATTACAATAGTACTGCTATAAAAAATAAGCAAAAATAATACAGCATGTTAATTGAAATAAAGCTCATGCCTATGAAAAATTCTATTTATTATTTTTTTAAAAAATTTTTATTAATGAAAACAATACTATTTATAAATATAATAAAAAAAATCGAGAATAATACGATCTAACCTTTTTTTTTTTTGATCCATTATTTATGATTGCCACTGTATACCGATTATTATATATTATACAGTGGTTTAACTAATATATATATTACTTATCGCTGTGTTCTAAAATTTAGGTATGCCAATTTCCTTCTTCTGCGCACTGACAAAAAGTTTTTCTTGCAAATTTAACTAAATTTAGGATTAGTGACTGCGACACCATAAATTTCCATCCAAATTTTTAAGATTACTGACGCTAAGTAAACAACCAAACGGAAAAGTTTACTAATAATAAGTAAACAACTGCGTTGAATAATAATTATTTTTTTGTTTTTTTTTTTTGTTTTTTTTTTTGTCTGTTTCTAAAATATATTCATACATAAAACTATATCATTTGGTGAAAAAAAAATCAGAACAAACTAAAGGAAATTCTATAAAACATAGCTACGAAACATCCAAAAAAAAAAAAAAAAAAAAAAAGAAAAGGAAATAAATTTTGGAGGGATAAGAAATCTAGCCCATTTTTTTTTTTTTTTTGAGTTAGAGATAAGATAAATACAAATAAGTTTTTACAATATTTTCTTGCTGAACCAAAATGCTAGCGAGAGGAATCGACAACTTCTAAAAAAAAACGCTAAAATATATATTCACGTAAATTGGAAAATAAAAATACCACTCATCAAATGAAGTAGGCCAGCGATGTAAAGAATACCAATGCCCAAGAAGAAATAAATAATATATGTTATTCCAGCTCGTGCATGATTATGAAGTAGATGTTGTATGTGAAAAGATCATTTGACTCGAAAAATAATGAAATACTGTTCATTCGATTCAGCAGATGATATGTACCGTTTATTCGAGATTAATGTTTGTAAAGTAACAGATAACTGGGGCGGACAAAACAAGATGATATATTTTGAAATGATATACGAAGTGAGGAAGCAGGAGTTGCATAGAGACAGGATGTGATTGATAAAAATGTCGATATGGTGGAATAGTAAGACCAAAAAGTAATGGTGAAACAAAAGTAGGTAAAATGCCATTTAAATTGATATTGTCTTTATCCGGCCTTTATAAAGAACAACAAAAAAGATTGAGTCAGAATAAAATAATGAGACAAAAAGTACAATATTTCTTGCAATAAGAAGGGCAAATTATTTGATCTTGCAACTACCCTCTCCATATACATCTACAGGCTTGTAGCACTATTTTGGCTTCTCAATGTCTTACCACGTAAGGAATTCTTTAGAGCGCGCATGGCAAATACGGTTAATCCGATACCTTGCCAGTCTTCATCCTTTAGTGTTCGTAAATCGCCAACAGTCATGATATCTTGACTTTTTAGTTTTTCTGACCATTCATTTGCTTTTTCGGGGTCCTTATTTGTTGCAATGGCAGCTTCACGAACAAATTCGTCAATTGGTGCATTATCTGGATATTCTGTAACAGAATTATGATGGTAATTTAACATTAAGATTAATCATACGGGTACAATAAATAGGATTATTCAAATTCAGACCTTTAACGGGAATTTCATCATCAAAATCTTGATTCCATTCTGAAGCGTGCCCACCAGAAAAGGAATTCTTCCGTGGCGGTTGTGATTGTGGATCTATCATTGTTTGCTGTTGTGATGACAACGTGCTATTTGGGCTTTCCCGTTCAAACGTAGGAACAGGAGCATAAGATTTCTGGGGTTGTAAGTGAGGAGACATTCCCACATGAAAAGGTGGAGTTATTGCTTGCGATGGCCATGATGTCTTGTGCTCTTCTTTATTTGATTCGTCCTCACTTGTTGATTTATTAATATCACGTAAAATACGATTTATCTCATGAGTTACAAGTTGTCGATACTGATTTTTAAGAACTTTCTCCTCGATCTTTATAAATAGAATTAAATGAGAACATAATGGAAATAAAAGTTTCAAATATAAAATAGTAATAATTATCGTACGGTCATGTTGTTACTGCCATACCAAATTTTTATCAAATTTTAGTATGCAATTCGTGTTCTAAAACTAATAATAATCAACGCTAAAGAATTTTCACATACAAAAATCCAATAGTACTAAAAGGAAAACTAAACTTGATTTATAACATCAAACAATAGTAACAACATTACCATATGATATGAAGGTAAAAAATCGATAAAATGAATCGAAGATCTGTCAGATGTATTGACCGCTACTGTGGCCCAAAACCATCTTATAAGATATACGACTCGATGTCGTACCGATATTTTTTTACCCACTACTAGATAACTTATAATTATTAATAATAATAGTAAGCTGTATGTTAATTACCATTTCGTTAACGACCTGCTCCGCTGTATCTTTTTCAACGTTAAATACAAATTTGACAGATAATTTATCCATTCCTTTGAAGACAACTTGTAGGGTTAGTTGAGATTTTGTACTATTTGCAGTTAATAATACCACTTCTGGCTCCACTGCAAGAAATCGATGTTCCATTATTTGCTGTGCAGTGTACCTTTTATATTAAAATAAATGACTATTGTCAATCATATGCTTGGTTACTCAGTATGTAAAAATTTGAAAAAGATACTTTTATCAAAATATTACAACCTTTCATTTTCGGGATCCAGACAATGCATTATTAAATCTAGAATATCTGGATCTTGAACCTTTTTTAGACTCTCCGGCTTTATGCCCTATAAAAAAAATCAATAGAATGTAGAAATATCGTTACAAAGTTGGATATATCGGAAACTTTTTATAATAATAATAATAATAAATGAAGAAATATTATAAAAAAATAGTTACCGAAGTGACTTTTTTATATACTTGAGGAGCATTCTCGCATTCAATATATGGATATTCGCCGGTAACCATTTCGAGAAGGCACATGCCAAACGCATAGATGTCGACCTTTTCGCTATACCCTTTTTCTTCGTACATTTCGGGCGCCATGAACTCAGGAGTTCCTACATTTTATAATTTGCGAATAAATAATTCGCAAATATTCATTTAGAATGCCGATTGATGAGGTATCGGGCACCAATGTTTAAAACCACGATAGCAAACCCAGCTGGGATTGTTACTACTGCATACCGATGACGGTATACTTTTTTCCCAACTTCATCTTGGCCGTTCCCATGTCACCAATTTTCACTTCTCCATGCGCGCCATTGATGAAGATATTGTCACATTTGATATCGCGATGAATTATTGGTGGATTATGAGAATGAAGGTATATGAGGCCCTTAAGAATTTGGCGGGACCATCGTTTCACTATCTTCATATTCGGCAACGAGAGTTTTCGAATGTACCTAGAAAAAATAATTACGGCGAAATGTATTTATGTTATAATTAATTGCATTAACTTATTGTGAAAACTTTTACAGTGAAATAATGATAAACTCACTCTCGCAAAGTTCCAGAAGTCATCAATTCTGTGACGAAAATGAATTCGGCATCCTTGTACCAACAATCATGGAAGTTGATAATATTTGGATGGCGAACCTGCTTTAAAATTTTTATTTCCAAACTTAAGTCATTAAACTCTGCTTTCGTTGTCTAAAGTTAGAAAATTGAAAATAAGTAAAATGTATGTTATTAAATAAGAACGCGCATTGATTGTAAAAGCGCGTCCTTGCCTGAAAACAGTTCCACGCGACTTCATAGCCTTCTTCACGATCAATAGCTTTATAAACTACTTTATAAGCACCTTTACCTAAAACTGTGTTTAGCTTAATGTAAAAACAGATAAAGAATTTAGTAGCTCTGATAAGTACTTTGACCATGCTACACACAATTCTCTGTACACCTTTTAAACAGGGGGGTTTTTTTTTAAAAGAATCAACTATTTACTTTGGCATATCTGCCACTCGGACTTTCTTCAATTACTATTTCGCGACCATTTGAATAATCGTGAGAGTGTAACTCCTGATAAATCCCTTGTGCTCTTGGGTGGTTCAATTCATATTCTGCGAGGGTATTTGTACCAGAAGCTCCGTTAATATATTGTGAATATTCTTCTTGAGGAGAAGAATGTCCATTTTTTTCGGGATGATGATCCGCCATATAATTATTCCTCTGGCAAATTCTATCAAGAGACAATAACAGTTATATGGCAAAATTCCGATCGTAGTCGTTATAGTCTAAGTTTGGCAGGTCAGGCGTTTGGTAAGTGTCACTTGATTACGTATCTTCCTTAATTTACACCAGGTTGTAGAATAACTGGAATAACTGTCCTTAAATTAATTACACTAAAATTTTTATGTAATTAATATTTGCAATACATGATAGCATAAAAATTTCTACAAAACATGCATGTTGAATAGTATAATAGGCATTTTTTCGCTTTGTTTTTTTCTTTTATTGGAATTTACCATAAAACAGTATTTGTTCTAGAAATACATATTTTTCATATTTATACGTATAGATTTGCTATGTATTACTATATCAATATATATATGTACGTATTGTATTTTTTTTAACCTGATACGTACTGTAGGGTATTTATATTTATGTTATTAATACGATTAAAATATATGAAAATAAAAATCGGTGCCAATTCTACGTAGTCACGGCGCAAACCGTTTTTTAAAAAATTTAATACCAGTGTAATTTAGGCCATACAAATTTAATATAGAAAAAGCGTTAATACATTTTTAATTTGAAAGTAACATCTATATGAGTGTCGCCAAAAGAAAACCCGATAATTTAAATATAGTCTTTATTTAAATTGTCAGGTTTTCTTTTGGCGACACTCATATACTGTATACTGTATAATATATACAGTATTCTTTAATTATTGTCGCGGTTATAATGAAATCAGATGAGGGTTTCTACGTATTTAACTCTAAAATTCACTTCCTGTATATTTGTTTCTTATAAACTTTACCCTGACCTCTAACTCTAAAAAATGTATTTATTTTTCTATTTTTTTACATTATATAAAATATTATTATTATTTTTTTTTAATATTAAGGTGACCACTTAGGCCCCCTGGCACTTTATTAGTACAAGCGAGACAATAATACTGTATCATGAGAGTACAACTAGCCACTGCGCTCTTGATATTATCTACACTAGATACCTGTATCTGCAACCCAAACTAGGATTATCCATTTAAACTCTCTAGCTCCTGCATCATGTTTCTTCTAATATACTCTTTTTATAGAGAATTAGTTGAATAAGACCCAAAGGCTTTAAGTCTTCAATATCTATTTCTAGAGAGGTATTTATCCTTGTAGTAAACCTGGCAAAGTGATCATGTTTCATACAAGTATTATCTGTAATTCAATAATTTGCATCATAGCTTAAACCATATACTTGGAAGTTACCTTTATAGTTACTTATTTCTACCCTTGTAAAGTTACCCAGATTTTGATATTTACATACTTTTTTCTTTTAATTTATAGACTTTTTTTTTTAGCTTTTAAAGCTTTCAATTTATTAGCCCAAATAGTTAGGTCTGCCAAATCTTTGGTTTATAGTAATTTCAACTTTAGTATATACTAAAGTTGTAGATAAAACTAATTAACTACATTAGGTAAAACTAGTAAATTAGTATACTTTAATAGCTAAATTGGTGAAATTAATAAAATGATAATATTGGTAATATTAGTAAAACTGAAGTATTGGTAAAACTTTTTTTTTTTTTTTTTATTATATAATGTCATAGTAGAAACTTTATTACAGTCAGTCCGAAGATTGAAAGTTATCTT